ATGAACACAGGAAACTGGTTTTTATTTCATTAAGTTTTGGCCTGTGATGGCAGGGAACTAGAACAGAAAAGATAAAATGCAGTGCCAAGACTATAAGACTGCATTCTTTACTACTATATAGGAGAGTGTATCTACTTAACTACCAGATCCTTAGAAGAGCTCTTTAGGAGTGCTAAATTGGGCTCCATAAATATATGCACAACCAATGGGGAAGCTTTAGCAATAATAACCAAATAACTTGTGGTACATTTAAAAACTACACATTTATTAAGTACTGCAGTCCATTTCTCAAATACATGGAATGTTAAGTAGAGAGAACATCTACATCTGTGGGTAGGGAAACAACAGTAAACTGTAAGGAGAGCTCAGAGGCAAAAGTGAAACGTGGGGGATAATTACCTATATATTGTGGCCATTCACAAAACTGCTGTTATGGTACAACCTAGACATTCTTTCATTGGTGAGCTGATTAATACATGTAGTGTGATACATAATCACAGTCTTTGAGAATGATTATTAAGTTTCATAATCATTTCCAGCTCACATTATTCTCTTCCTTTTGAACTTTGAAGAGTGACCCATGCAACATTTTCAACGTTTTTTCCTTTTCTTTTCTTCTTACTTCAAGACTTCCTTTCCAATAAGATCGATCACAAAGGAAGGAAATTATACACACACACACACACACATGTATATTTTCAGGACTTCTGGCATTCAAATGTATTATGCAAGGTCACAGGAGGATTATACTCAAACCAATGCTGACTCCTTGGTCCAAAATCTCCTTGGCACCAGTTTCTATTTTCTGTTAACTGTGGTAACAAAACAGTAAGTTAAAATGATGCTAAGCATCATACATCTTACTTTGGGATCAGCATGTTGCCGTAAGTATGAATTAAACTTGCCAACTGTGTAAAACAGTGACACAGGACACATAAGTGAGGCAGAAGTTGCACTTTTAAATCAGGTACAGTTCATCACTAGAGTAAGCAAACAGCCTTCAGTAGAGATGGTTGGAAACAATGTATGAAGACAATCAATGTATGAAGGATGATATAAAAATTATTATCACAATCTGAGATGGACTTTCGCTCGTCTTACTAGCTGGACTATAATGATCTACCTCATAATACTGGGCTAAAATGTGGAAGTAATCTATGTCCAATAAGAATTTATTTATTTATTTATTTATCAAATTAATACACAGACCATCTCACTATACAAGTGACTGTAGGCGGAATGTAACTGAACTCCTGTTTATGAATAAACAATAAACCGAGCCTATCATACCTCCTGGAATTCAGGTATATTAACTTTAGCTCTTGATTTTTTTAGTTTTAAACAGAAGTTGGATCCTTCAAAGGAAAGCAAACATGTCACAGGGAAACTCAAGAAAGTCAGATTTCACTGTTTTTCAAAGTGTCTTAAATTAGTTTGGATTATAATAAATAATAAATGAGCAAGTGTCTTTTACACCAATTTGCAGCAAATAAAAGCTTCTTAGTAATCATAGAAGGAATTTGTTAGAAACTTTAAGTAAACCTACATAACAATGAACCTTGTCTTTGGCTGAAATGCAGAACCACCAACAGCACCTGCTGCAATTCAATACGTAGGAATGTAGATGTCGTATCATATACTTAAATATGTTTGTTTTTATATTCTGACTAGAGATATGAAAAATAATCAAACACTGAATTTTCTCTTAGGACAGCTATTTGTGAACTTTATAAAGCTGAATACTGCAAGAATTCAGTTGGTCCTAAATATTATTAACAGTCAATATTTTAGCAATGTCATGCATAATTGCAGATTTTCTTCAGAGATTTTATGCAGACCTGTAAGCTATTATCCTGTAAACTTAATTTGTGTAAACTGACATTTTTAAGTCCCATACATTCTACTGGGAAAAAGATCAAAGTTGTAATCCTAAACACACATAAGGATTAAATCTCACTGAACAAAGTGAGGCTTACTTCTGAATAAACAAGATTATGTTGTTACTCTGCAATCCTCTGCAGTTTCCTAAAAGTAAGTCCCATTTAATCTTACTGGGCTTACTTCTGAGTAGAGATGCACAGGACTTTGTTATTACACATGTGCTTCATTATCTTATTTAAGGAAAAACTAACACTGATACTATTACACTATTTTCTCTCAAAACAATGACAAAATACATAAGGGGCATTCTAAAAACAGGTACTATCTATTGAAAATCTGGTTTATCACCGCCTTCCTTATAAAGAATCATAAAAAGTCCGAAATAATTCTGTTCTCAGACACTTATATTTTGCCTCATTTTTAAAATCAGATGGCAGTGAATCTGTTTCTACTTCAATAATGAGCTGAAACATACACAAAAGTTCTACTTAAGCCCTTTACACTTTCACATAACTGTTTTATGCATTTTGCTATAGGAAAAATAAAGTAGGTTATTTGTGAATTCTTGACTCAAAGATTGTTCATTTCACTTTGGCATATTGACTCTAACATTTTAAGATGAGAAGAACTTACTGATAATATTTTAAACTCTAGTCAATCAGAGTTTTGTTTTCTTCCAGACAAGAGTCACACTTTAGCACATTTGAGAACAATACACAAAAAGTACATGTGCGTATGCACACACACATATAAATACACACACACATAAAACAAACAGGATTTTAACATTGGTAACCCAAACCTTAAACACATATGATTTTAGGGGATATAAAATATGTACTGTATTACTCTAGGTGCAACATTTCAATGATTTGGATGTTTGCATCTCAGAGAACTGTGAATACTTTCCTGGGTGTTTCTGCACTAATTATTGAACCAACATAATTGCTGTTATCATCTACTTATGTTAAACTTCTAGTATCGGTGCATTACAATTGTGGAATAAATCAACTATTGCAACAACATAATGTTTACAGCCAAACCAAAATAGGTTTGACTGTCCCTTTTTTCACGTCTTACAAAATGGTTCTTATCTCAACAGTTTACTCAAAACTGCAGAGTTTGTCAGAACAGAAGTGACAAATATTTACAACTGGAGTTACTCAGTACTATAGAAAGCATATTTTTATAATTATAAATAGCAGGTTAAGTATCAGAATAAAATTAAACACATTGCAGGATACTACAATTACCATAATACCACTAATTAAAAATCACAATTTGCGTACTGAAAAATTATTTCAATCTGATTTTAAAGCTCACTAGCTTTATGTTTATCTGTAGCTGTTACAAAATTGTGAAAGTATATTCTGAAACCATTTTGTTGTACCTTGGTGTATGCTGGTTAACATATCCTTGATTAGTTTCCATCCTACTATAACCGACCTGCATTTCTTAGTACTACCAGCCTTGATCAAATGGCATATTTAGCACTTGCAACTCACCGGTATATGACATTTAAAAAAAAAACATGGTTCCATTTCATAGCAATCTACTGTATAAGTCTTGTAATGTTTTTTTCTAGGAGATTGACACTGGAAAAGATCTTGTTCTCCTAGGCAACTCTTAAGATTTAAACTTTTATACGTTGATTATAACTAAACTATACTTTATAAAATTCTTGCTAAAAAAAGAACACAAGTACCAAAGGTATGCTGACAGGCTTCAACAAAAAATTTTCTTAGTCAGCAATACTGAATTAATACAGCCTATATACCTTCCCTCCCTAGTATGGAAAAAGTTGAAAAATACCTGCACTATTATAATTGCCTGTTGATTTTATACTTGTTTTTAACTTTGTTCCTGAAACATTCTCAAAATTTGATCCCAGAGACTCATTTTCCAAGTTCTGTTTGCTTTTGTGGTTACTAATGATGACTTAATCGCAATGAAAATACTTTTGATTGTGGCGTTTGTTACCATAAAGCTCACATTACACGTATGAAAAAAAAGGTCACATTTACTTTTCTTTCTTTGCAGATTGCAGATTTTAAAGAAACTCGTGTATTTTGAAGCAACCGAGAAGCCTATGAACCACATCAATATCAACTATACTCTCTAGTTAATGCTCCACTGAAGTGTCAAAGACCATGTTAAAACAATTTGATAGATAGTCATCATTTATCCAAATCAGCGTCAAAGCAATGAAGCATCCTTCGAGGATCCCCACCCCCCATGCAGACAGCCTAGTGCTGGAACTTTGGCATTGCTCCTTCTTTCTCAAACTTTAAAGACTGCAAAAGCATGCCATGTTTTGACACCCATGTCCTCTACCACTAGGTGAAGACCTGATAATATAATAGGCATTTTAAAAGAATTTTGCAGGAGCAAAACTGTTGCCTTTCATGTACGGACTGAGCTTTTCACAGACCCAGAAAGTGCTGAGATAATTGATGGCAAAACACAAGGGGTGTTCACAGTTAGTTTTCTAGCAAAAACAGGGACTTCTTAGAGCAACAAAGTAAAAAAAAAAAAAGAGAAAAAAAGGTGGCAGCAGGGTCAGTGCAAAGAAATACTGCTGTTTCTTTCTTTTTCTTTTTTCTTGGTCAGAGAAAGAGAAACATTTACTGAAGCCCTTAACTTTGCATTTTGCCTGCCCTAACTGAGGAAGCCACTTTGCAAAACACCCCATCATTTTAGATGCTAAAATGCACCTGGATATAATATAAAATTGATTTTTTGTTAAAAAAAAAAAAAAAAGCATAAGAAAAACAAGTAAACATACAGATAGGGAAATACCATTTCATGTATACTGGTATTTTATTTAATCAAAAGCATGATTGCACTTTCATCCAATGACCAGACTGTTTAAATATACTAGAGGAACAATAAAGAAGGTTGGAAGGTGCAACATGCTTAAAATTGGGTCTTTTTTAAAAGTGCAAAGCTCTTGGGTGCATGCATGCACATACACCTGTATGAAAATCTATTTTGGGAAATACACCTTGTTTTAATCTTTCCTGTTCTCCTTCGGGTAGCATTTTCCTCCTGTTTATGGCATGCAAATATTTTTTAAAAAATGAGAGCAAATAAGGGAAAAAAACAATAGCGGGACCTACATTGAGCACTGTGCCGGTGCTGCCACTCTGTTTGTGCCAATCCAGTGAAGCAGGCTTTCAGAGCCTTCTCCTGGAGCATGCAGGAAGATGGACTTGCTGTGTAGAAATCCAGCATTTGACCGGGGCTGACTGCTAGGACATCCATGCAGTCAAACATGATCCCCTCTCCAGTACGTCTGCAAAAGTGCCTTCCTCTAGGTGTGGGGGAAAATGACATATAAAAGTACATCCAACTCCATCAAACTCTGCCCCTTTTTTGGCACGTAAGCTGTTGGTCTTTTTCCCAGACCAGAATCATGAATTATGACAGACAACACAGCTAAAAGCCTGTAATTGATCCAAATGATCATTTACCATTTTCCAGGCTGTTCAGCCAATCCAGCCGAATAAAGGGGGGGGGACATGCAGCCTTCCAAGTTCCACTTCCATTAATTTGTGCCCCCAAATCTTTGAGAAGCCTTCGAGCCACTTTGTCTTGTCGTGAAGTGATGGTATTTTTTTGTTCCCCGTGCAGCCTTGAAGTTTTGCCGACGAAACAGGCTTCGATAGCCGTTCGAGATCCCCCTTTGCTGCGGAATAGATCCTTCTGCCTTCGAACGGCTCACTTCCTACTACTTGTGTCACACAGAATGAAAGATTGAATTGCTTAATATATGCGAGTGAACTTTCTATGAACCCTTCCCAAGCTGCTAACCTTCAAATGACCCAACCCGTCTGACATCACCAACTCCCAGGATTCTCACACAGCTTAAAAACTCCCAACAGCCTTGCAGAATAAAGCAGAGAAGACGGGGTAGCCCGCAAGCGCGCGCGCGCTCGCTCCCGCGCTGGAGCAACTTCCTTTAAAACCAAAAACAAAGCCTTAAAAATGGAAGAATATAAAACAGAAGAGATGCCTTAGGCTTCTAAGCAGCAAAGCTCTCTTTTGCAAAAATTCCTTTCCCCAGCTCTTTTCCTACAAAGGCACCGTGCCCTCTCTCCTAGCGAAACCGTTTTACGTGCTCGGTTCTATCCAGAGGAGAAAACAAGATGCCATGGTGCGTTTACCCCATTGCCAAGGTAGAGATCATTTTCCTGGCTGATAACAGAGAAAACAAAACAGTGGCCAGAAGAGAGTTAAAGGATCATATGCCGTGGAGAGAGAGCATTCACAAAGCACTGGGATTCTGCTTAGAGGAATTAGAAGCATCTCTCGATGTAGCTCTTGCTGCTCCAGGTTACTCTGCTTTTGTTACATGTGGAACCAGCAGCACACAGTGAAGGAGATCCCTTTGCCCAATTGGCATATGGCACTATGCTGACAGTGGTGTCTTTCTTCCCCCTGTGAAAATTCTTGCACAACAGACCCACCCTACCCCCTTCACGAAAGCACTTGGCAATTCTTTGCCAGTCTCTATATTAAAAGATCTGCAGAGAAAACCAGTCTGCTGTAGTGGTTAAGGCATTAGGCTAGAAACCGGGAGACTCTGAGTTCTAGTCCCGCTTTAGGTACAAAGCCAGCCGGTCACTCTCTCAGCCCTAGGAAGCAGGCAATGGCAAATCACTTCCAAAAAACCTTGCCAAGAAAACTGCAGAAACTAGTCGAGGCATTTGCCAGGAGTCAACACTGACTCAAAGGCACAATGAAATAAAACTTAGCAGAGCCCCGTTGCTGAAATTACCATCAAGTAAAAATGCAAATGAACCCATGGAGGCAGAAGCACAGATTTCTAAGATAACTATAAATTCGATTTCTTATCTGAACCTTTTAAAACAACCATCCATCATGTTTTTATCAATTTACATTAAACTGCAGGTAAGGTTATTTTGTGCTGGCTAGCAATTCCTTGTGAGACATTTTCACAATTTATACTTTTCCTCATCTGCCATTAACCAACGTAGTGACTTCATGTAGGCAGAATGCATAATAATTTTTCCACAGTTGGTATCAACGTAGTAGAAGTACTATAATAAATACATGAAACATATGCAGTGCATTTGCTGTGCTGACACACGCATTATGAGTGGAAATGCTCTTAACTTCTAGAACAGCAAAAGTAAGGGAGAAAAGAAATGACATTTTGCAACATCTTCAATATCAGTAAATGGCAGAAATCATACTAGCTGAAAAATATTTCTTCTTGCTGTGGCTAAAAAGTACAGTGTTTTAAGCACAGATGAATCTACTCACAATGACTGCCCACCAGGGCTCCAATTTCAGTATCACAAAGAATAGTATTTTTTTCTAGAGCTGTAGAACTACCCACAAAGAGAAGTATATAATTAGGGATCCAGTGAATTTGAAACAAGTACCAGTGAGTGCCACATGTTTTTAAATATCATTCTTTTCCTTACATTTCAAACATGTTTTTAAAAACAATATTCCAAAAAAATTGGAAACATTTGGTTTTTAAAATTTTGGATCTGTTTTTCCATAGTGTAGGAGTATATGTGAATATTAATGCATGGATGAATGGATTTTCTACACAACCTTCCCTAATATAAACTTCATTAACCACGACAAAGCCTTAGCAGGCTTTCTCAATATAACTTTCTTGCCAATATGCAAATATACATGTAACTTAACAAGCTTAATGCTGTTTTAACAAATGTCTGCAAAGACTGGTGCACTCCATTCATTGCTGATGTCTGTGTGACTATGGTGGACCATACATTTTAATATCCAAGAAATATTATACATTTTTAGATATTCAATAAATATTTTACATTCTGGAATATATCTTACTTAGCACCACCCAGCCATAGGAAAGCTTTCTCCTTTGCCTGATGCAGTTTTGGATGGTAAATATAAAAACCTAGCCTTGGCTGAAAGGCTCTGCCTCTGAGATTCTGGACAGGTGGAAACCATGGAACACGTACATCTCATTGCTCCTTTTACAGAGACATTTGAAACAGACTTACCCTCTGTCTGATCAGCAGATATCCTGATCAATTGGATTCGGCCTAAGCCCAAATGCCACTTAAAGGTGAAATGCTGTTTATTACAGAACACGTGGCTAGGTTTTGCATAGCAGCATGTAAGATCTGCCAGACTTTGACAGCTCAAGTTCCTGCTACATAATTTTACATCTTATCACATTTTATGTAATTTTAGATATTATCACATTTTGTGTAATTTTAGATATCACATTTTGTGTAATTTTAGATAATATCAGATTTATATTTATAGGCTATATAAATGTGACATATAAATAAGTAAATACATAAATAGCTTAGACATAGATTGCTTCTTTTGGATTTCATTCATGGGTCCCAGTCAGGCTGTTTTATAGCTGTATTTTAATTTTTTATTTACTGGTTTCTTATGCTAGACCGTTCTATAGGTGCTTACAGATCATTTAAGGACCCATTTCTTGTACTGGTCTGAGACGACAATAAAATGACTGGTTGATTGATTGACTACTTGGTGGATGGAGAAAAAAACTCTTACATTGTTTCACTACATGCTTATGCAATTTGATGAAAGAGAGTTTGCTTTTCAAAATAACCTTCAAAGGGAAGAGGATTGCAGTGAAATTCTGGTGCTTCACCGATTAAATAAATTCAAGGATTGTTCTTGAATTTATTTAGCTACAGGGTGGCGGGGGGAGGAGAATCTCCTGATTTTCATTAATACAACCCTCTTTCTAGCAGTTTGCACCTCCCTACCTTCTCATCCTTCTATAACACCATAAGGGAAAACCTCATGACAAAATACTTTCTACTGGCTGTTTCATATTGCAAAACATGAGCCACCAGAAGAGCCTCTGAATGATATGAAGATGTGTAACAGAAAACGTTGTACACATAGCATCTCCTGTCACCTCTAACAATAGTCTCAAAAGTCAGCACCAAGAAAAATGTGGAATTGTTAAGCATTCTGCAAATACTGTAGGTAGAAAAACAGAAACCCATTTTACAGAGGAAGAAAACTTTTGAGAAACTGCAGGCAACTTTAGCACAACGTCAATCTTAACAGAGACACCAGTGGGAGAAACACGCTGAAATTAGAGCTTTCCAAGTGAGGCAATAAGTTGAACACCATCCCATCAACAACATACGGGTTCTTGTTCCTCTTCTGCAACATATTGCAAAGAGGGGAATGGACATGACTAATATCACCACTGCTTTACTAGTCAGAGTTTTTTTTATTTGATTTATACTTCCCTTCACAGGTTTAAAATAGTTAACATGGTGATCTCCCTTCATTTTATCCTCACAGCAGCAGTCCTGTGGGGTAGGTTTTCAGAAAGAGCATGTGAAGCTGGCCCAAAGTCCCCCAGTGCGTTTCCATGGCTAGAGTGGGCATAAATCTGGGTCTCCCCAGTACATGTGCAACACTTAATGGTCATACCACATTGGCTCTCTATTTTAAAATGGAAATTTGAATCCCAAGAGACATGGGGTAAAATCCTTGTTGAGACATAAAGCCCTACTGTGTGAGCTTAGTTTATTTTACTCTCTCAGCCTAGCCTCGGCTTAGTAGGTGTGGGAACTAGTGTGAAGTTAAAAATAGGTGTGTGCGAGTGTGGGTGCCTCCTGTAAGCTATTTTGAAATCCTGGGGAAAATGTAGGATAAAAATGCAACAAATCCCCCCCAAGTCATTTACAATGCAAATGCTGCTTATTTATGATTCAGTGTATTCATCTAATACACAATCTGAAACTCCAGATTGCAATCTGAAACTCCAGAACTGCATGACTTGGTCGCGCTTTTTTTGTGGCTCCAGGAACCCCTTCCAATGATAATTCCTAAAAATCAGCAGAATGTTTACCTATCATTTAGAGGGTGAAAAAAATCAATATAGCATAATTCCTAAGGTTTAACACAATTAAAAGCTAGCCATATCACTGGTGTGCCCTCTGCAGCCTTCTGCCATTCCAGTAAGTGTTAAGAGTGGCCCCTGCTATCGAAAGGTAGCCCAACTCTGATTTAGTGGGCTTAGAGCCGCCTTTCACTCTGCACTGTTTTCCCTCATAAGCCAATTAGACATTTACCTGAATGCATCAAGAGCAAAGTGAAGAAAGAATCAGACCGTTCCCATAGCCCTGCCTTCTCATCAACTTCCCTTGGAGAGGTCTCAAAGGAAATTGTGCTTGAACACGATTGCAACTGTCAGTTTGATCCAGGATTCTGCTTTTTTCTGGCTCCAGATCAAAACTATATTAAAAGTAATGTATGCTTGCAGATACTGAATTGTTTGCCTCAAAAACAGTAGCTTGGCTTCTCTACGGTGTGAAACTGCAGCCCTATATGAACTTTCACTTGTATGAAGGAATGCCATCACACTGAGACCCATTGTTTCTACACCAAGATGTTTCCCTAATGCCACACTCAGTCTGGAGACTGGGCTACCTAACAGAAACTAGAGCTTTGCAATTAATTATATCTTAATGCCTCAAAATCAGTCTAATTCCTATAATGGTCCTG